GGATTTTCTTATGATATCTTCAGGTAGCTTTGTATCCCAGCTCTTTTGCAAGTATAATTTTAGAAGGAGTGTAAAAGTGCAGGTGAAATCTATTGTGTCAAAAATTCTCCGCACACTTGATAGTGCGGCTTCGTCCTGTCACTGAGAGAAGAATCAAGTCGATATTAAGGATATCAGAAAACAATAAATCTTGCATACTTACTCCACAAAAGACCAAGTAATTTCAATGATTCGCCCATTTTAGATTTTTCCTTGCCCAGTTCTGTTTATTCCCAACTCCTTAAGTCAAAGTTAGCACTTGCTATTAACTGAGTTGATTTTGCAATAAAGTATTCCCCTTTTTCATTCGAATGCACTGAAGTGACACAGTTGTCAACATAGAAGGAATTTTTTAGTTTCATATCCACTTCCTTCAAAGAAGGTTCACATTGGTTTAAATGAGAGTTGATCACTGCTCCTAAAAGAAACGGTCTGCATTTTAGTACGAAGACTGATCTGCAAGGGCGAAATTTTTTATTTCCTTTTGTTACGAGTTTTTCCACCACAGGAATCATAGGAAATCGCGATAATTTTTTGAACAGATATTTGAAGAAAAGATCTTCTAACATCTGATATAATCCTCAATTTTCCTTGTCTAAATTCACGAAGCAATCTAGGTATCAATTCAATTAAATTTTGACTTCTTGCTAGACAGTCGTTAAGTGGAAGGAAATCCTTTTGCTTGCATGAAACGTCGAATACAGGTCATACTGCTGTTGTACAGTTAGTTACCTTTGAAGACCGGTCTATAGGGAAGATAATGATTGCTGGCTTGTTCCTCTTCTTCCTATATTTCTCCTATTACTCCAGATTCGAGCTACTCTTCGAACACTGCATTGTATGTTTCAAATTTATCTTTCAACAGGAGCTTCTTTGTCGTAGATAGCAATCGTTTTCAGCAGCATTTTTATCGTTGATTCAAGGTAAACTGACTTCATATCGATCGTTCACCCTTTTCAGAGTCGTGTAAAAGTGATCCCACACCGCTTCTTCCAACTCATCATCAGTTTATTTTCTTTAGCATCTGCAAAACCGAGTGCTTCTAGCTTCCACAAGTTTTCTATTTCCACAAGTTTTCTATGTCACTGATGTGTCAACATGGACAAGGTGTTTCTTTCTGAAATGTACTCATTTACCTTTTCCATGATTGTGCATCTAAGTAGTGATTCCACTGCAGTAAGCCTATATTCTAATTTCTGAATTCTTCCTGTTAACAAAGCACCTGCGACGTCAGATCCAATAAGAACTTTTATTTTCAAATCCCTTCTTCCTACATCAGAAGAATGGATATTTTTCGGTTTTAGTCCTTCTATCCATGGTCCAGCCTGTAAACTGACTATTGGTCCACAAATCTTCGACTATTCCAACAAGATTAGTCGTCTAGAAAAATCACCTTTAAGACTTCTAACGTTCACTTCATAGCGTTTGTGAATTTCTCTCTTCGTTGTTACTCCTCCAAAAAGTGCATGAATTAAAGTTTCAGATCCCTTTGCTTGGCACCCTATCTCTCTTTAAGTCTCTTTTAATATGTATTCTCGTTGCGGTCCTGTATCGATAAGTGGCATTATTGTCTTCTGCTTTTTGTTTGCGTCGATATTAATTGGTAGTGTTTGAAGAAACACTTCATCTAGGAAATTGGTGCTCGCTAGTGATACATTTTGTGTTCCTCTTCTTTATTTTTTTTAACATCATTGCTGTTTCGATTGATGTGCAAATCCGGACTCATGATACCCCAATGTCTTTTCAAGCCTATCAAACATCGTGCATTTGTCTTGCATTGCTTGGCCCTGTGCCCAATTTGGGGACAGATGAAGCAACCCTTCCTTTTCTTAATTTCATCATTTTTTTTGACTCAGAGTCATCTTCTGAGCAACAAAACAATCTCGACTTTCATGATTTTTCTCTCCAAATATGCAAGAATTCTTTTCACTATAATTGGCTGCTTTATTATGGCCTGAGAATAAATCATTCGCTGTAAGCACAAAATGTTCACCCTGGTACTTTTTATCGCTTCTACTTTCTTTGCATCCGAATCAATTAATTTAAATCCAGCTTTCGCCAAAGAAATCCTCTACTCTACTTCTATTTCATTCTTTTAAAACAATAGTAATTGTTTCAATTTCTCAGAGTGAGAATTTTCTGCTGTAATTATTGATGCATGATTTCCAAGCCAAACTCGAAAAATTTCCTCGAGAATGCAGGATTCCACGAGGGGAAACAACATTGCAGCGTATTTGTCACATGTCATTCCTATTTACTGCAACGAACGTAAATACGACTCTAACTTGTCATACAATTCTGATGTACTACATTTTCCCTTTTGATCAGTAACATTTTTAATAATTAGACTTAATAATTTCCGATTATCGAATTCTACTAATAATTCTTCCCTGTCGAACCTATTTCTTAAGCTTTCTATAACTTTTTCATAATTTTCGGCTGTTGCAGGGAAGCTGTTTACAATATCACGTGGTTCCTTCGCTTAAAGGAGATAATGTATCTTGTCATCGTTTTGAATTTCTTTATCTTCGCCGAAATGTGTGTTCGCCGAAATTGTCCCCAAACGGTAACCAGTCTTTAATTTCGCAACCGAATTGTTTTAACTATATTTTAGGTAATTTCAGTTTCCGTTTATTCAAATTCGGCGGCACACTGCCAATGGATTGCGCTATTCCGTTTCTACTCGTATTAAATCTAATTTTCTTTGTATTCTTAAATTTTTGCGCATTCACTTTCAAACTGATCATTTGAAAAAAATTCTAAATTTAATATTTGAGTATCGAATGTACTAAGTTCAACAGATAAACGTTTTAAATTAACAAGTTTCGTTTTCCCAGATTTTTCATCAAGAATTTCCTTTTCTTATTCCTGCAAAATTGCATTAATTGTTTTCATAAAAGACACTCTGAAAGGTTTTCGTTTCTCAATTAACGATTCCATTTCAATAAAATCAAATAAAATTAAATTCAATAAAACGAATAAAATTACCTTGACGTCTTTTACTGATCACGTCCGGGTCAACAATTGTTCGACATTTGCAAGAACTAACAGTTTTTCTTTTTCCCAATAAACTTAATATAAAACAGTTTTACATCTAATATACCAAAGCGTCATGTTTATTTTCAAAATCCATAGAACAACAACAAACTACAACAAAGATCAGAAGGTTGCCACTCTTACAATGTCAAGCTATGAACGAAAGATTATAACTGAGGCTTACTTCTAACAGACGTTTTGTTTTTTGAATAAAACTAATTTTCCCGTTCATACTCATTTCTGTTCACTCTCATTTCTGTTTCTGTCATTCCTGTTCTCTTTTTATTTTTATTTTTGATTACTTTTTGGTGTATGTCGAGTCAAGAACAGAATGTAAATATCCAAGAGTATGTGTTATATTAAATTGGGAAATAAATGTTACCTACCGGTCAATGAAGAATTTGCTGGATTAGCTCTGTAGCGTGTCAAAAATGGGCAGCCCATGATTGTAGCGAACACCAAAACAAGTACACACAAACTCATACCAATCCTATTAAGTATTGTGAACTTTCAATATGAGGGGTAATACATGTTCTTGGGAAAAAATGTTGTCCGCCATCTGCATTTGTTTGTTTTTGAATTGAACTGTAAAACTGATAATTTTTTTAAGTTAAGCTGAGAGGTCAATTAAGCATTTTTTTAGGAAAAAAGCAATGTCTCTTGTTCATTTCTCGTGAGTTTATTTATTTCATTGGACACAAGGAAATTATGTGTGATATAATAAATTAATCGATTGTGATAAGAAAATAATATGATGATAAGTGAAGGTTTGATTTATTTTTTTTTCATTCATATTGTATTTGGATTTTTTTAAGGGGGGGCGAGTTTTGAAAATTACATCATTTTAATGCAATCTTTGATACCAAAAAAAAAAAAAAAAATGCCAGTATCATTCAATTCCTCCCCCCCTAAATAAACGCTAAATTGTAATCTGAAAACTCCATATTACAGTCTAACACATCAAAAAGAGTTTTCCATAAAACATTTCAAATAAAATTTAAAAAAAAAAACTTAAATATCATAAAAATCATTAAAAAGTTTTTTTTAATCAATCTGTGCCATTTACGTAATATGGCCTAAGATCCATTTTTTTAAATTTTGTTACTACAAATGTTCATAAAAATAAAAAATAAAATGAATATTAATTTATATCAGTTAGATATATTATTACAAAATAAAAGGAACATCTAAATTATTCAGAAAATCGTTGTTTTAAATCGCTCACTTTGTTAATCTCTAAGAAATTAATTAAATTTGAAAGATAAATTGAAGTTCTTATACCTTGAAGGCTGCTTTAGATTATTTTCGCCGTGCAGTATATCGGGTATACCACTATAGTGTACTAGATCACTATTTGATACATTTGAGTTATGCTGAAAGATAACTAATTAGCTTAATTAAATAAGTCATTAGTCACCTTCACCGCATAACAACTTTTTATACTAAACACGTTTTAACAAAAACGCCGAACTACACTACTCACTTAGATAGAAACAGATACGTTTGCATACATATAGTTTCTTTTACAGCTAAAGTTACAGTATTAGGTATATGAAATAATACTATTAAATATACATTTAGAAAATAAATAATAGTTCAAAAGTCCAGTTACGGTTAAATCGCCACAGCCTGTTAGTTTTAGAATCATGATCGTGTCTACGAGTCTTAATTTTCCAGAACAGGATTTTGTTTATAAATGAAGATAATACACCTGTTTCGAGGTTTAAAAATGAAATCGATACTAAAATTTCCCCATATAATTAAATCTAATTGAAAATAATAACAAATTCTCAAACAAACATAATAATTAAAAAGTTTAGGAGAAGGAGCTATTTTACAAACGTTACAGTGATGGATAATATCACAAAGGATACATCCAAAGCAAGCATAGTCACATTAAGCAAGTATAATCACATTAAGGATACATCCAAAGCAAGTATAATTTGTCTGCAGACTTCCAGAGTAGCACAACTTTTGATGTAGTCTGCAAAAAAAAAAAAAAAAAAAAAAATATATATATATATATATATAACATTATCCTGGATATCCAGAATGCTTGAAATGATTGAGAAAATTTGTACTAGGACATATTTCCAATATTGTAATTGCTCATGCTATCTTAGAATTTTGTGCGTTATGCTGCAACAGAGACACTGCATTTCATTCGAATGATAAGAATATAAACTTCATTATAATCCATGTAAATTCTGCTTTTAAAAATCATGGAAAATATTTAATTATGTAAAATAAATGTAATTCCGCTTTTCTTGAAATGATGGAAATAAGCATGAAGAGATACTTTTCGTTATGGATCAGCAAGCAGGTAGTAAAATTATTGGTACTTACGTATTATTGAAACAACTTTAGTAGATGTCTCCAGATTTTCAGATTGTGCTAAACTCTGACAACCATGCGCAAAAACATTTTTAAAGCATAACTGCTCATAACATACTTATAACAATCATTCAGTCAAGCAACGTTCCCATTTCCGAACGCGTTTTTCTCGTTGCATTCCCAGTTCCAACGTTTTTATCGAAAAATCGTGATACATTTTGCCTTCAACTCATTTTTAAAGTATCTCTTGTAGAATTTGCTAGCAATGGTAAAAGAGCTCCAGAAATAGAGTATTTTGCCGCAAAATCGCTAAAGGGGCAATGATGAGATGAGTTTGGTAGGTAGGTGGGAAGCGATGCCGAGTTTGCATTATCTGATATTATTGTAAGCAAAACTGATTGCTGTTTGCATGGGGAGAAGACTCGCTCTGAAAAATTAGGATAAAAAAAGTATATATATTTTATTTTTAATGTATTATATAATCATTATTTTGCAATAAAAATTTATATTTTTATTTTTTTTTAAAGTTTTTCTATTGATATGTTGATAATGTTTGCCGATTTACGTTAAATATCGATAGTTTTGGAACAACTTAAAAAAGTTACGAAAGTCACTAGCTTCCACTACGTGATTTTTAGCTTTTTCATCTGTAAAAGACTTCCTAATTAAGCTAAATTATTTGCATTAATACGCAAATACTAAATTATTTCCTATTCCGAAGATGTAAATAAACTAATATTTTTAATAATGCAAAAAAAATTACAATAATTCAGCTAATCATTTTTCTTGCTTAAAACAGCTTCATTTTTATATGGCTTTTACAATATATGTGAGCTAATTTAGAAAGCAGAGAAAATTAAAACCTCAGTAAAATAACTAAGTTTTTACAAGAAGACAGTGATAATTAAATTGTGGAAAACTTTCCATAAAAGCAAAAAATGAAAGCCGAAAATTTTATAAAATAATTGTGATTATAGTTTCTATTATTGCAATTCATTTTATTATAATACAATAATAATTTTTATAATAATCGCGCAAGAACAAATTTCTTTGGGGTCATTTTCACTCATGTAGCTAAAGAAGCTTTATGTAAGGGCAGCTTAATGTTATCTCATTTGTCCAAGGCTACTTTGATAAAAAACATGTTCGAAAGAACAATGGAATTTAATTAGTTTAATACAAATATAACCAGAAATCTGTAAATAAATACTTTCACAAAATTTTAATTAGAAAAAAATGTAAAATTTAGTTTATGTCCATAATTCATTTTATGCAAAAGTTCATTTATGAACTGCTCATAAGGTTACTTGAAATTATTTCACCAATGCTATACCCATAATATTAATATTCGTATTTACGTTATTGCTCCTATTTACGCTGCTGATGGGGAAAGCCATGAAAACACTCATGTGGCCATTTCATTCGCAGGGATTCGAATTAGGGTTAAATACTCTATGTTCAGCAATTTTATCCGTGCGGCCAACTGGTAGTTCCAAATTTTAAGGAATTCTTATTCATCTGCAGCATCGTAAATGGATTATAACAAGAATGACAAAAAAAAAAAGACTAGCCGCTAAATGCAACTTGATTTCAGTAACTGTTACTAATGGTTAATAAATTAATCAAAATGAGAGACTGGAATATTGCGGAAAAAAATATTGATTAAATTTTCGATAAATTAGTTTGAATACTATTGTAAACCTAAGTCGATTTCAGTTGTAATTGTTGAAAAACTATTTTAATTGTTCTTTTGCAAAAGCAAAGACCTTGAACATTCTGCATCAGCTATGCCTGAATAATAGTACACTCTTACGATTTTGTTGTCTGTTTTCTTATCGTTAATATAGTTATTTTTCTTATGAATGAGAAAATATAAATTTTACTAATATCAATTAACTAAAAAATTATTCATGGATGATTATATTATAATATTAATTAACTAAAAATTATTAATGAATGATTATATTATTATATTGATTAACTAATAAAACTATTGAAAATAATTAACACTTCAAAATTTTCAACTATCATTTGTTTGGTATTCTTATTAAAAAAAGTTTTCTTTTCCCATAAGCTGTAATTAATGTAACAATAAAGGCAAATAATTATACTTATTTTATATATTTACACTGATGTGTGTAAGTATATTTTATAAGCTTACAATATGCAGTGGGCCTTCCTGGCCTTCTTTTTTGCGAGTCTGAGATTGAAGAATATCCTACTTTAGCTTTAATTAAAATTAAACTTTAGCTTTAATTAATGACATTAAATGTCATAAATATGAATAATCTTTGTTTTCTTACCATTTGGAAGACACGTTTCCAGCAGTTCCAGTAGTTCAAATGCAGATATAGTTTTATGTTCATCAGCAAGTCTTAAGAAAACGGCTTCATATGAACTGACTTTGTCATTTGTCGTAGGTGCTTGTATGATTGCCGGTTTCATAGATGTAGGAAGAAAATCCAGGAGTTTCATTCGTATTGGTTTTGTTGACAAGACTCGAAGGGTATAATTTGCTTCTTGGCAGGGTTCAAATGTTGTTGGAAGAAGAACAAAACATCCTTGTTCCAAGTGGCATCTCACTGAAACCTAATAAAAATTCTGTTAAATTTTTCATATTTTTTATTCCTCCTTCAAAAAGAAAGTCTGAGACAATTTTACATATTTTAAAACCAATTTTATATTAAAAATGCCAGATTAAAGAAGCTGTTTGCTGTAACTGTGTCTAACTGAAGTTAGATTAGTATATTTTGCAAAAATATGTAGCATCGACCAGTCACAACACGCAGTAGAACAAATAACTGCGAACCATTTACAGTACAGAAATTTCAAGAGTCACAGCTAGGTTTTCTAAGAGCTAAAAGTAGATATTTATATTTTTGTAAAAGTAGTAAAACTCTTTTAAATAGAAAGCAATGTTTCAAGAAAATAAGGAAGAAATTTAAAATTTTAAAATAATGCGGTAATTTACAACCTTAAATAAACCATTCTTGTTGCTTTTACTCTGTATGTATCTACAGTATATTCTTCCGGTATGCAAATTAAGTTTTCTATTAGTTACTGAATTCTTTTTAAATAAAGAAATCAACATTTCTTTCTTACTATAATTTTCATCCAATTTTAGTAGACGTATTTTTTAAGTCAAAGAAGGCATGGAATATCTTTTCAGTAATGTAGAATGTTTTTCATTCGAGTGAGAAATAACACTTTCCTGGGATTACAGGAAACTTGAAATAGAAATATGTAAATTGTTTTAAAATAAGTTTTTAATTTACTAACGTGTTTTGCCTAAAAAATGTTATATTTCAGTTTCTCACACACCATTAATCATTACAATTTATATTACTTAAACTACTTGCCAGTTAAATTATTAATTATTCTTTTGCTCTTAAATACAGTTTAAACCTATACATAATTGTAATATCATTAAGTAAAATTTGACGCACATTAGCGCTGCATTTTGACGAAGTATACATCTTTTATGTTGCTCCAATAACCACTACTAGCACAAAAAATTGCATCGTTGCAGCAGTAATCACAGAAGCGCTGTTATTTATTCTTTTGTATAATATTAACGATTAAGTCACGACATATTTTGGAATACTATACGCGTTATGCTGTAATTTTTGCGAGAACTAAAAATCATTTCACGCTTGAATCATGGCCGAGAAGACCGTTGCGTAGATGAAGATTAGTGCGAAAATCAAAGCTGGCTTGATTGTAAAAACATCATTTTTGTTTTTCACAGGAACAATTATTCAGAAATACATCTCTGCTTAAAACTGGTACAACACTAGGGGTGCTAAACGCCGCATCCTATAATTTCGATACAAGTAGCTTACATTTTAGACAATGAAGAAAGAAGGCGAAGTCACAGACCTGGGTTATTCGAGCAACAGTAGACAAGAAAATGCAATGGCAAGGTCCAAGTATTAACGTCGGTTGTATATATAGCTTGAAAGTCATTGTGTTTCCTGAACACAGATTGGGATAAAGATGTCGCAGTGCAGAGAATTGCAGGGAAAAGTGACGTTATATGCAACAGAGTGACGCAGCAAAGCGTATCTTTGAAGCGGGGATGTGTTTAATTAAAATTTACAAATCTGAAGATCTATTGCTATTTTATTTCAATTAAGTTTGATAATTTTGTTTCGTATTTTATATTTTAATTATGTATATTATAATTTGAAAATGTAATTTATTGTTAAAAGGAAAGCGTCGAGCCTTGGTATTTTAAATTAGCTCTTATTTAAAAAATAAGACTAATTTTAACAATTTAGCCTCATATAACTGCATATGTTTCATATTAGGACACTGTTTTAAAAATAAAATTGTTGTAGCGTACGTACGGGCTCGTAGTAGATTGAATCACATAAGTCCTATGACAGGTTGATAAAGTTTATTTTATCAAAAGAAACATATCAGAATTCTGGAACTTCTCACAGAAATACTCGTAGGTGTTTACAGTATCACAGAGTACAATCAGTAGTTACACTTTAAACTACTAAGAATGTTAAACATAACCCAATGCAAAGCCATTTAAAGAATAAAGCTAACCCGAAGATATCGCAGTATTCCGAACTCACGTTGAACTAACATCTAACATTAACTCTGGCCTTATATAATTTTCTACCAGAAAAGGAAATACTGAGAAATTTTTAGCATTTCTTGGAATTACTCGAAGCCATATGAGGACCGGATACGGTTACCGCTACATATGAAATCAATTACAGTTACATAGTTGCAATACCAAATTTGGCGACAAAACGTAGTCGCCAAAACCGTTGTCAGCTTGGGGATATCTCACCAAATTAGCGAGATAATATTGACTCACTGCTAAATAGACATGCCCCTGTATTCTTACGTTTCCGGTACAGTACCATCTCTCTAGATTTTCATGTTACATTGTACAGAAAAATACAACAATTTCACATACAATTGCAATAAAATCATCTATCTATGTACAAAATTTGTAACACTATTGCTTATTTATAGCTTGACAACACATAACCAGCTAAAGAATCTCATGTGGCTCGCAAGCCCCATTTAAACTATCGAAATGAAGTATGTCTCTGTCGAGTAGCAGTTTAGACATGCCTACTATAGATCTTATGTGGCTTCAGTAACAGCATAGCTATTAATGACTACATCGTACGAATTCCATTCGAGTCTTAAAAATACCAGTTAATAATACAAAATAGTGCGACATTTAATTTACACTGTTTGTATGGTATTATTGAATGATTAATTACTGTATGGTATAACAGAGCAAGATAAGAATAATCTGGAACAATAGTAGAGTCTCATAAATTACTTTATATATAGGATCCCTAAAACTATAATTTGCCTGGAACTCTACCATCCTTATAAAAATAAACGTAGAAAATGTTTTCAAATATAATAATGCTGCTTACACTTCATGTTGAAAATGAAGAGAAAATCATTATTCCATTTTTAATTACTCATACAAGCGTACCTGCTTTATATTATAAAAGGTAATAATATCAGTAGGAAAAAAGTACTGTTTAATTTATTATTTTAAATGGTTAGTTTTGTAATATACGTGGTATTAAAAAAGTGTTTCGAATTTTGATTTTTACTTGCAGAATCCTTAGAAGAGTTGCATAAAACCTCAAAATTCTGCGGAACACAATTTGAAGACCACTGATTAAGAATGACTTCAGTTTTGATGCTATTAGTTCTTCATTGTCTTGTGGATTTTCTGCCCTTTAAGAGAAGATATACTTTTTTTACACTAATAATTAATGATTAACATATATCCTCTGAAGTCCTAAACTGAACATAATTAATATTGCTATTAATCTTCGCAGTTGATCGCGATACCTCACTAAACAAGCCACCAAAGGAATTGAGGCTATATTCTCTTCAACGTTAAAGAACTTATTTGAAATGAGGGGATTTACCAAATTCAGAGAAGTCTTTACCGACTTCTGTGTTTCAATTTATTGGGTGTTCCATATTTGAACCATCAATAATTTTAGAAAAAAGGGGAAATGTGTTTCACTTTGCAGCTGTGAAATTTAGAAACGGAGTCTCATACTGCATTTAAATATCCTAAAATGCAATTCTCTTGATTTTTCTTCTGCTTTACAATTATTTTTCACACAAATTATTTTGAGCTGGAACAACGGTTCTCAACCTTTTCACTAACGCATACCATCTAAGCAAACATTCAAAACCTTTAGTACCACCACTGCAAAGCACTACTACCATCACCACTCTTGAACAAAGCTTCAGATCGCATAAATTTACGAGTGTTAGAGAAAAAACTCAACCAGGATGTTGGGGTTTTAATTTTTGAATTTATATTTAAAAATACTTTGCTTCTTTGCGTACCACCTATTTTTCTCTTGCGTACCACCGGTTGAGAACCCTGAGTTAGAATACAGAAAGCGTTTCACAGATATCAGTAAAACAAGCGTACACTTTTGTGTAAGATGAATCAAATGACTTCAGTTTCAGTTTAAATTTGAATACTTCTAAAAGCACTCTTTTTTATGAAATTGGATGATTTTTCTATAGGAAATTTGAACAAATAAAATGCTACATCAGCACTTCTTGTCTAAGCGAAGTCGTTGGTACACTTTTATTATGTTAATTAGTTCATGCTGATTAATTTGATCTCCTTGCGTAGTTACGTGTTTGCGTAACTACGCAAGCACTTTAGACTTGATAAAGTCCTAAACCAGCGATTCTTAACCGGTAGTTCGCAAGAGAAAAATAGGTGGTACGCAAAGAAACAAAGTATTTTTAACTATTAAATTCAAAAAATCTCGTAAAGAAAAAGAACAATTGACAGAAATTTCCTGTGATCGAACTCTAAATGTAGATTTCAAAAATGATAGACTTGTTAACTTTTGGCTGAACCGAAAAAAAAATTTAAAGGAATTTCAAATAAAGCTATCAAATTTGTATTGCCGTTTTGCAAAACCTGATTGTGTGAACAAGGATTTTTCCCATGTTATATCTGAAATATATAAATGCAGACAAAATTAAAAAGGGATTCTAATTTATCATAAAGCTAAATGAAATAAGACCAGACATAAAGAAATTGATCTCTCTTAAACAGGCCCAAATTTCACACTAAATTTAAAAATTAAAGTTTCATAACTTAAATTTTGATAATTAAAAGGATAACCAATTTTTAATCTAATACTTTTTCATCTGTGCATATTTAATACACATTGCCAATAGATTGTGCAAATAGCAATATATTTTTTTTAATATTTCTATTGAGAAATTGAAAAATAATCACTGTAAAATGTAGTGGTGGTACTAATGTTTTTCAGCTTTTGTTTAGATGGTATGCATTAGTCAAAAGGTTGAGAACTGCTACCTTAAACTATTTGAGATATGGGGTCCTTTATAAGTGCAGATATTAGATATTATATATCAGTGCCAAATATGATTTTCGGATACCTAGAGGCATAAACTAAAATACAATTAAGAAGTATTTAGATAGGGAAATAATAAATCTTTAACTTAAAATCATTTTTATTCATAACAAACTTAAAGACGCAAACTCTGGTAAAAAGTGTATCCCCGTGTGTATTGTAAAAGAAATTATA